TTTTATTTGGAATACAATGACTCTTGGGGCTAAGTGCACTAATACACTGTCATAAATACATATAAGACACTGTAAAATCCACGATAAAATATTAAACAATTATTATATTCCATGATACACATGTTTTCTGTTATTGTTTAAATATCATATTCAATGTTTTATCAATTTATTTTATTATTTTTATTATTCGTTTTGTATTTTTTTTTAAACCCCCGTTAGCTTTCTGACTTTCAATGCATTTGTATTATTTTGATGGTTTGCTAACATTATGTTTTCATTGTGATACCTTCTTTGCTATTGTATCGTTGTTCACCACCTATTTTCGCAATTTTGATTTTTACATGTTCGTGCACACGTGTTATACACCGACTTGAACATTTTGTATAACATTGATAAAAACGGGTACAGTTGTTAAGATTCGCGCGGTACTTATGAGTATTGTTTGTATTTTTTGTTAAGACTTTAAACACCTGAACAAAAAACGAATGTATAGTAATATCGTAAAGCTTGCGTATAAGTTAGGTACCATCCACGAACACAAACAGACATGAGGTATTATAATAATAATAAATATCTGTCAGAGTAACCGCGATGTGTTTGTTTTGGGTTATATCATCGTTTGCAGACCTTGTCAAATAATTTTTTATCGTTTTGTAAAATAATAATTGTGTTATCATTTTTTTTCGCGGATAAACTGTGTGTTGTTTTTAGAAATTTTGTATTTCGTTAAAGTTTGAACACACGCCTAGCAATTTATTCGTGTGATGGTGTTGCGGGGTTTATCGCCATAACGAGGTGTTTACCTCCACGCTGTTTCTCGTCACTCTCATAACCGTAGAGTCACCTCGCGTCGTTATTTTATTGCTCGGTGGAATCGGGGTAGAATATTATAAAGTTGAGTTTTATAAATTATGGTTAAAAAGTAAATGCAAAATATTATTTCAATAAACCTATTTTTAGGTATATCAATTCTATGATTTAGGTATTATAACCGAATGCAAATTGTGAAAATGTCAATAGATTTTTTTATTTGTTACTTATTAATGATAATAAATTATAAAACTTTTCTGATTAGGCAAATTAAAAGTGTATTGTAATTTATAAAACTATGATTAATATGTATAATAAAATACTAGGTACAATTTGTTTAATATCTCAGACAATAATTATTATTTTATATAAGTCTTGCCATTTCTCTGTTCGATCAATATTTTTTCGGTTGTTATGACTGACTTATGATTACACATTTTCTCTGCAGTTGTTAGTAAAGCACAACTATTATTATCATAATTATTATAGGTGTGTTGTATTGTATATAAACGAAACCCATTATTCTATTTATAAATAAGATAGTTTCAAAACCATCAACCATTGTCTTTTAAATGATAGTATAATATCCACAAACAAAATATAGATTACGTGTGAAAACTCAACAAATGAAATGGGCTTATCACATTTCTAAAAATTATGAAATCATATTATATGAATTTTAATACAGGTGTAAAGTCATTTTTGGTTCTATAGGATATTTCGCCGAATTTAATATATAGGTCTAAGATCTAATCTTGGAAATATATTCTAAACATCTACAAACGCGAACTTTATGGGTAGGTTGATAAGTAACATGATTCTTATTAAAACAATATTATTTCTTATAAAACAATTGCAATATATTATTCTGTAGTATTTTTGTTTTATTTCATAATATGTTAATTTTATTATTTATTTTTAAATTTTTTGATCACATTTTATGGTTAACGCGTATCAATGTGTTTGTGTAACTGATGTGTTCAAATTTCTTAGTAAAATGTTTTTATAAAAAAAAAACACATTATATTTTGTTAAAAATTACTTTTATAATTAAGCTATTCATTAAATTTTACAATATAGGTAGCAATTGTATGTCATTTAATGACATTATTTTAGAATTAATCGATCAATTGCAACACTAATAGAAATTATTTTAAAACACCCTTTTAACTATTTTATTATTTTGTTTGTGGTACTGTCAGTTGAATATTAGGATGATTGATACAAAAAAATTTACCATTATCTTTTTAAATTTAATTATTTATATATTATGAAAATAATGTTATTGAATTCTATAAAATGTGAAAATAGATTTTAATGCATATTAAATACTATTATAAGTTATAAAGTTTGTTTACAATATTTTAAGTGTAGCAGGTGTTAGGTTAACTAAATATTGTGAAATTGCATATAAATGGTTGACTAAAATTTACATTTACAATGATAATATGTTAATTAATTTTTATTAGGTAATATATCATGTAACTAGTCTACGTGTACAATAGAATGTCATGTATGTAGTACGATTATGTAGGTACCTACTCTCATAATAAGTTGTCCAAAGCTTTTCTCTCCTGTCCTATTATTTTATGGTGAAATTAATGTTTTTATTATTGTTTTTTTTTTTTTTATCGATGTTTCACAACTTTGGCAGTAGAGGCCATTAGTTACAATATATTACATTTAGAATTTATTTTAATAAGATTAGATCTGGTAAAGCAAAGCTTACTAGAAATAAAAGGTCAAAAAAAATCATTTATTAGTTTAAATCTATATTATATTATACGTATTTTGCATGGTACTAAATAACATATCGATCAACGTCACAAGATATAAGACTGATAATTTTATAATATAACTATTTTTATGTACATATTTATAAAATATTTTCCATTGTGTTTTATTAAAGTACAAGTGTTATTTTATTTAAATATTTTTATAATAATATATTTAAACATTATAAAAATAGGTATTATTATATAAAAGTTTGTGAAATCGACACTTGAGTATAATTTAATACCGTAGGATTATTACAAGATTTTCAAAACTTTTAATGTTGGGAACTTGCTTGTGACCTTATTAAACAGTTTCTTTTAATGATCATATTATATGTATCGGTATGTTTTTAACATTATTTTATAGACGTAAAAAACTAAGTCTTTGAATTTATATGATGTGTGTAATACGGCGTTCTTTGTAGGCAATTGTGGTGCATCCATGTTCAGCTTAACTTTTGTATTTGTGTTTTAAGGGCAAAATGCCAACATAGAAGTTTTTGTAATATTTAATACGATATTGCCGATTTTAACTTGTTGAAAAATCTAATGATTATCCAAGATAAAAGGTGTAAACCGATTTTATATATTTCATCAAGAGTTATTAATTGGTCACTTTCGTGATAATGTAGATAATGTGATATAAATTATTTAAATAATTGTTCAAGAGAAACTTTTGAAAGTTGATTTACCAAATAATATGCTATTTCTCATATTTTTTTTCATTAACAATGAATTTATTTACATTTTGATTTTTGGAATTTTGAAATAATGTAATGAAAAACTATGTTTTAAAAGAATTTTCTTATGGTGATACAGACTTCTGTTTTAATAAGAACTTATTTTTATACTATTAATTATTTAGTGAACAACTTTTTTTTTGAAAATTTTGATGTATCTACTTACTTTAATATTCGAATTAAAAGTTTATCAGTTATTAAAATATTTATCCTGAAAAAATAATTATAGTCTTTAAAAATGATTTTACAAAACTATAAAATAGACGTAATGTTGGATTTAGTGGTTATTATTCTTTGGTCATTATTCATAGTTATATTGATAGATTAATATACATAGAAAAATCATCCAAGTTATCAAATCACTATATAACTTATATCTTTCAAACTTATTATCATGGACTTAATATCCTCAGTAATTAAAATTTGATAGTTCAAAAACTACTTGTTAAAATTTTTAGTTAGATATACTCTATTACTGAAGAAGAAAATTAAGGAATGAATATCTTTGGTGATTCACTATGTATAATATTTAGTTATAATTAGTTGTTAAAATTCAAGGCACACATAAAAATTTGTCCGCAGTATATAATATGTAGTGTAACGATATTTAAGTAGACGATGGCTTCAAATAAGTTTTGTATTTATTAGCAAAAAATATGAGTTAAGATAAAAGAAAAAAGGGTAAATAATTTTGAACTGAAAACGGGACGAGAAGAGAAAGTTAGATTTAGTTTGATAAGTAGGAATTCCGATATTGTTTATTTAAAGAAAACATAGTAAATATATAAATCTGCTTATTAATTCTATAATGTAATTCTACTTGATAATATTATTAACATTAAAACATCCAGTCGTATTTATTGCTTATATAATTGTATTTATGTACTTAATACAATTAAATTAAATTATTTTATATCTATTATACCTACCTAGTATTGTGTGCTAATTTATTCATTATTTTACCCTTGGTTTAACAAGGGTAAAATAATAATAATTTTGAATTTAATCATCGTACTGTTTTGGGCTTTTGGATTCTATCCAATAATAAATCACTGAATAATTCGTTTGTTATACTATAGTAAATTTCGTTTTTATAAGCGTTTTATGACTAATAAAGTTCTTGGTATAAAATTAGGTCTTTTGCATTAATTAAAATAATTTAAAAATATACAATACTATTTTAAAATTTTATCCTTGTCTTTGAATATTAAAAAAATAAAAATTTTCAGTTAAATAATTTACAATTTAGAAAAAATCTTTAATCTAGATTTGGTCGATTTAAAATTGTAATTAATTGTTTTTTGATTAGTTATTAGAGGCGTAATAATTTCATGATTAAATTTAAGTAAAGAAATGTGGCTTACTCTTGTTTAAATATATAACCTCATTCACAATATAAACTCATCCATTTATAATTTCATTGGATTATTAAAGATTTATATTTTTAAATGTCAATGATGACATAATATCATAATAAAATATGATTAAAATGTTATTTTAGTTTTGTAGCCAGAAAAATATTTTTCATTAATTGCTTAAGTTAATGACTTTATTATCATGAAATTTATTATATGTTGAACATTTAATCTAAATAATTGTAAACGTTTTTCAAATTACAAATATTCGTATTTTTAACTACTGTAATAATATCATAAATTGTACTTGATTGTTTTAGAAATGTCCAGAAGGTGTTGTGCATGAAGATTTGTTTAAAGATATCTACTCTAAATTTTTTCCCCACGGAAGTATGTATAATAAAATACGATTATTTATTCATTTTTGTTTCTTATAATATTTCAATATATATGTATATTTGTTTATTATATTATATTTTTTTAGATTATTTATTTATTATGATATATTTTTAATTATTAATTGTTTTTAATATTTCTAACTTTATTATAAGCTATAATGTAAAAATTTTTATTTATAGATTCGAATTTATATGCTCATTTTGTGTTCAAAGCATTTGATGTGAAGAGCAATGGCGCAATTAGTTTTAAAGTAAGTTTGTGTTGTACTTATTTGATAATATATATTTACATTCGACACAAATAATATTGCGTGCAGAATAAGCCCATTATTAGAATATTAAAAAAAGTCATAAAAGTGTCTTTCTATCTATTTTGCTGAAGCCATTGAAAACCTTTTATGGACTAAATTAAATTGATATATTTATATATTATATAAAAATATTTACTAAATTCACATTTTCATATTATACACGTTGCTTATATTTAACATCTCAATATATTATTAAAACTTGTATGGACGTTAAAATCTAAACTCGTTAGAAAAGTTTTTACTGTCACAATATTATGTCATTTTTAACTTTATTATAAGATGTAATTGTACATATATTGTGTAGGTACTTAATAACTTTGCAATAAATAAATAAAACTATATTTAAATATCTTATGTTATTTTAATGTCCACGAGTATAATAAAAATAAGATAAATAATAAACTGAAATAAAATTAGTATTTTTAAAAAAAATTGAAGTTTAAATTTAGAAGTATAATATGTTGATGAATACAATTGAAAGTTTTAAAAAGACAGTAAAATTATATTTACTATATTGTATATATATAAAGTTCTTTTTTTTTAGAAACACTTAATCAATATCCATTGAAAACAAAAAGAAATTGAATTTATTCCTATCTATGAGAGATTATATTTTAAATTATTGTCTTTTAGTTTCCAGAAAAATTTAAATACATTTTGTAAATGATTTGGTTAAATTAAAAAAGTCTTTAGAAATATTAGATGAATATTTTTCCGTATAACTTTTGAATTGTTGACATATTTAAATATTTTATATTCATGGTCGTATATTTAACAATTAATATTCATTTTTTGATTCTTTAATAATTGAATTGTGTGGTTTGAATTAATGCATTAGTGTAATTACGATTTCAAGTTCAAATGAATTATTTAAAATTAAATATACTTTCATTATAGAAATGCTTAAAGTACGTTTATATAAACTCGTTGATTTACTACTATTATAAAATGTTTGGTAAAAAACATTTTGTTTCAAGAAGACAATAGGTAAAAACTTTATTCGCTCAAAAAAAAAAAAAAATCTTGAAAATATTTCATTGTAACAATATAATAATCATTTCTTTTCTATAATTTTTTACAGAGTTATAATGAATTATTTTATTTGGATATTTTAAATCTTTGAAATATATAGATTGAATATTACTACACAGCTGTCAACTATATAATATTTTGAACATATATTAAGTATAATTATATAAATCAATTTTATACGGTAAATTTGTTCGATACAATTTAATTTGTATAGCGCGCTATACATTATAATATTATATAACATAAGCGAAAATAATTCAAATTCATTTATCGTTTGGGATTTATCGAAGCATAAATATTATAAATCGACCTTCTTTCAATGATGACATAAGATGTGCAAACGTCGAATGGTTTAATATTTTTTTTTAGGATTTCTTTGTATTCTGAATGTTTCAAGATGCCATTCATTTTCTCACACTAAGCAATTCCAATATTATAGCTGTTGGGAGTTTGGTCTCTCTTCGGCTTTTCTTTTTCCCAGTGTTCAAAAGCGTTAAAACTATCGATCGTGGGTAAGATGATGAGCTCTCAAAATTCTCGGTGTGAAACTTTAGAGATACCGGCAGTATAATGTAAGCTTACTTTTTGTTTTGAATAAAATAACACAAATTGAAACGTAAAATATGCGATTTACTGAAAACAAATAAAATTCCCGCACTGAATGCTTGTGCCGACCGTATAAGACTTTGCTTACCTAATTTATAGAAACATCAGCTAATTTTATTAATTAAATTAACTGTGCAGGATATGCTGATGACTCTATCCACTCTGCTTCGTGGATCTATTTACGAAAAACTCAGATGGACATTTAAGCTGTACGATTTAAATGGTGACGGATGCATAACGAGGTCGGAGCTCAGTCAAATCGTGTTAGCCATTCATGAGCTGATGGGCAAAAGACCACAAGTAAGTAAAATATTTCAACTCGTTCAACTCGTGTTAATAATACAAGTTTTATATAGATGTATGTGTGTGTGCGTGTGTGTGTGTCTGTGTGCATTTGTGATGTGTGTAAATTTGTAATATGTGTGTGCATGAGCAAGCGAAGTATATATTTGCATTATCTTAATGGATATCTTACAGTTTCCCGAATAACTTAGTATGGAAACTTTACGCCGAGTGCCAACTTAAATGCATTGCGATCTAAAGGACATATATATCTACAAGAGCTGTTGTTAGTTAAACAGCGGATATACGAGTGGATAATATTATTCAAAATGTGTTCGAAAACAAATTTAAAAAAAATGGCGTGGAATTTATTGTGTTTGAAAAGACGGGGTTAATTTCAAAGGTTTATAATTTAATTTAAACATATTATAATATAGGTGTTTGAAGTTTCTTAAACTTATAAATACTTCATAAAAATGTGTTTCAATATTATTTATATATATATTTTTTTAAATGAATAAAAAATAAATAAAATCTTCCTCTTTTATAACGTTAAATTAAAAGATGATTGATTAATATAAGCAGCAAACATTAGTTTTCATTAAAGCGTTTTTAATTATTGTATATTAAAAACGATGACTCCAAAAATAATAATATAATATTATATATTTGTAATTAGTAAAGAAATATAATTTGAAATTTTAAAATAATTTTATGACATGTAAATAAAAATAAAATAAACAAAATTCTAAAATAACTGACAAAACAAAAAAAAAAATTAATAAATTTAAAAAAAAAATCATATTATTTATATTATTTTAAATACAGTTAGATTGATTTTTAAAATATGTTAAGCATTTAAGCGGTAGTAATAAAATATTTGAACCTAATTTTTTTATGTGTATTGTCTAATTCATAAAAATGTTTATATACTATTTTAAAATAAGTTATTTGTCGTACTTATATTTAAATACTTAAACTTAAATTCCATACATTTTGTTGTTGGCAATATATCAGATCATTTCAGCTACGAAACTTATTTGGTAGTTTTCGTACACATATATCATCTTAAGATAAGATAAATAAGTGTAATGTAAATCTTAACTCTACAACGAACCACATAGCCTTCAGGTTTTTGAAAAATCTCATCAAAAACTATATAAATCTAGTAAATTTTTTTTATCACAATGCACTTATAATTCGTGTTTAAAATTTAAAACTACGATTGTTTATTAGTTAAATACATTTAATAATATTTCATTTTCATAAGATGTTAAACATTTAAGCTATATATTTTTTATGTAATGTTGCTATTTGATACACTTAAATAAATATTTAGATTAATGGTATGAACATGTTTAAATTACAACTTAAATAAAAAATCGTAATATATAAATCATAAAATATATGAATTTTTAAAAGGTGGAATTATAATGCGAGATTTATTGCACTTAATTTTAATATTGCGTAATAGGCATTATAATTTATAATTTACTTAAAAATATGAAGATTGAATTAAACCAATTTAATATACTAGTTTAAATATAATAAATTGAATGGATTATTTTAGAATTAATTATAAATTAATACACAAAATTAAATTATTTATTAAACTATAATTTATTTTTATAAAAAAAAAAAGATTTTGTTGGAGTTTTATTTAAAATGTTTTAATCATAGCAATTTGATATCATTATGACGAGAGAACAAGATAGTATTCCTTTATTTTGCAATTTCTTTAATTTACATATTTAAAACATAGAACAAACAACAAAGTAATAATTTATAAAAATTATCTGAGATAAACATTTATCTAATACGTTTTTACCAAAACATGGTGTACGTAAATAATTTTAATTGCAATTTTTGTTTAAATATATGACATATTAACTTATAACATTCTGTACATAGTAAAAGTTCAAATTTTAAACTAATGATTATAAGATATATAATTTTTTTAATATAAACTTTTTATTATATTACTCAATATTTTATAAATAAAATATCTATGAGGTAAAAAACTCAAACTTTCTATAATATAATGTGGCTTATACTCGTATATTTTATTTTAATTTTGCTTTAAATTGGTTGAGTGGATTAATAAAGTTTGAAAGGATTTTCTTAGTCCCAAACTCATCAAGAAAAATATTACTTTTTAACTCGGAAAAGATTTCGACTGTTATTACCTTTTTATGTGGATACTATTTGTATTAAAACTATCTGGTTTTTAACTTTTTTAATTTCTGAAAGTCACATATACTTAAAATCGCAATTTTATTAGACTACTAAACCAATCTTTTTCTGTATAAAACGCTCATAATAATATTTGAGAGTTATTTTTACTTATATAAAGAATAGTTTGTTATGTTTCATGTTACAAATAAAATTAACTCTCATTAAATAGTTTTTTTTTTTTTTTTATATAATTTAATTATAAATAAATGTTTTTATATTTATTGTCACTGAATATTTTATATTTATATTAACTTTTGTATTTGATATTTTTAGGGTCGTGGTAGTACTAAATCTAAAGATCACACTGATATGGTATTCCAAAAACTCGACATCAATCAAGATGGCGTGATTACGTTCGAAGAATTCATCGAATCATGTTTAAAGGTTATATTCGTTATAATATCGTATGATATATTTTTATACTATACCACCTATACCACTTATTGTTGTAATTTAAAATTATACACTATTTATTATTTATGTATTGTTGGTTGAATGTTAACAGGATGAAGCGATCACGAAATCATTACAAGTTTTTGACTCCAGATCGCTATGATTGTCGCTATCCTCCATCGACTCTATAGAAGTATCACTTCTATCGTTCGATCAGTCTGCTGGTCAGTCGGAGGAGGAGCAATGCAGCCAACTACGGCAAGCAGACAACGAGTCTTCCCAAAACAATATTTTCTTTGATTTCTAATGTACATAATAATATAATATTATTATATTGGCCGTTTTGGTTAATGTTCGGGAACGTTCTTCCTGAATTTCTTTGTCCGTTAAACTTCTATTCTGATGTGTGATTTTCGGTTAGTTTTTGTTCTATTAAATGTGGCTTTTATCTGACGCCATTATTATTCGGTCCGTCCTATATATTGTTACCGTGTTAAACGTAGGTACATTATACTACATACCAAACATTTGTGTCTCGATCTTTGTAGATTTATTATAATAATTGTTTACTGATGGTGATTATCATCAGTTTATGGTTTGTTTTTATTATCTTCTAGAGGATAACTAAAAAATATTGAGAATTATCATTGGCGAAGATAAAATATTATTGTTAAATTGAATAAAAAAAAAAAAGATGTAATAGTTATAAATATTTAAAAATAACTTTGAGTGGCATTAAATTATCGAGTGAAATTATTATTGAGTGATTAATCATTATTCATTACATATATATTACCTCATGGGTATGCCTGTACATTAATAATAATTAATATGTTTATTACACACATTTAAGTACATATTTCTTATATGTTGTAAATGTGTATTGCACACGGAATAATCAGAAATTTGCGAATAAAAAAAAAAAAATGGGGATCTTATGGGATTTGTATTACAAAAACCTACATAGGTTTTTAAAATAAATTTCTCATCAAGCTGTTTACACATTCATACATAATATATGTATATACGTACATGTGTGTTGTGTTGGTATGTATATTTGCGCGTGTGTGTAACTTAGTTCATGGTTTTAGTTCCTGAAGCGATATTATTTAAATTTTAAATTCTTGTTCATTACGTTTACATAGAAAACTAACTTGTATAATAATCAAGCAATTATTTCTGTACCCTTTAAGCTTGTAAATATTCTGTTTTTACTTTTTATGACTAAATATTCGCACCTCAATATATTTAAGTTTAAACTTTAAAGTTAATTTTGTTAGTTTAAATTCTATATCATGTAAGTAGGTAACGAAAATTACATTTTTATATTACTATAATTGCAAGTCAATTAGACTTTTTCAAGTTTCTTATTTATTGGATATTACTTAATTAATCCAATTTAATAAGCACATACATAAATAATAGTCTATTTAGTTAACTTTGTAAATGTATACTTTACTTACACGTCAAATCTATGCTTATAGTAATACTATGATAGATTTGGCTTACATAAAATAGCATAATAATATTGCACGTTGTTAATGAGCAAAAATATTTTGTTAGTGTATAATTGAGTAAACACGCGGTATAAAAATATTAATTAATATTACATTTTTTTTCTATTTAACCTCATTTTTGTTGAAAAATAAACTACAAGTATAATATTGTGAAATGTTATAATTTTTATTTTTTTTTTTAAATATTTTATGTTTATTCTTATTAATTCGATTATTTTAGTTTGTTAAAATATTGATTTTAAGATTCGTTTTATTAGATTTTGGATGAAATAAATAATTGTATTGTGTCTATACGATTCGTTAATTTAATATTATCTTCCAAATATTATAAGAAAATCCATATTTATTTGTATTTTTAGATTCTTCAAAAACTAATATTCGTAAAACCATAAACTATGTTGAATGTTTGAATGCGTTTAAAATTATTATTTTATATAATATAAGTCCAGATATTACTATCGGTTATTTATAAAGCAATGTTATGATCGACTCTACTTAAACCACAATACAAATTTTAACATACAAGGTGGTTCATTTAAATCTCTATAATCATTATCTCAAAGTTTTACGTTAAAAAAAAATATATTTTATTTAAAAAATTTTTATCAACATTTCTTCAATAAATATTTACATCATATATTTTTAGTTCCATATTTCAAAGCAAGATATTTTTTTGGAGTATTTTGATATACTTTAAAAAACCAATTAAAATTAGTTAAGTAGGAACAAACATTTGAAGTCATGATTAGTGGTCTATTTATATTGGTCTAAAATTTTGCGGAACTAACTTTATGTCACCCAACTTTGATCATTCAAATTTAAAATACTTATAACTTATAACTAATTGACTAACTAAATGTTTGGAATTTGGTTTTTATCAAACAATTATTAGAATACTACAAAAAATATACTTCTTCGAATATGAATTGAAAAATATATGTAGTTGTTATTTTAAAAGTTAAAAATTTAAAAATGTTAAAAAATATAATTTTATTTTTTCGAAAATGTATTTTTATTTTACAATAATATTAAATTATGTAAAACAATGTTTATAATTTTTGAGTGAATGATATTTAAATGACTGGTCTTGTATAATTGATGACTTTCAACCGTCTACCTGAAATGTATAAAAATATAATATTAAAAAAAATTAATTTAAATATTTATTTAGTTGTAATTTTTTACAGATTGCGTATTTATAAACTGTAGTTTTAATAATAATAAGAAAAAAAGATTTATCACATAATGATTAGAATTTGAACAAGTAGTTTTAATTTATTTATATGCGTAGTAAATTAAATTTTCATGGGCAACGATATATTATGATGAATTTGTGTGATATCGTCATATTTTTGTGAGTAGTATTAGGAAGTGTTTATGCCGGAATAAAAAGTGCCGGTTTGAACTAAACAAATTTACATTAATTAAACAATATCAAAGATAACTTCCTGTTATAATTTTGTGGTATGAATTATTGCGCTTGAAATATTTTTATACCTAAAATGCATACATATGAATGATTGTATTTCTTATAGTGTATATTTTAAGTAGAAAAAATTCTATGTGTTTTTATTTATTCATTTTATTTGTTTAAGTTATAAAAAGTGTTAATTTAAAACTATTATTTGATTTTTCTAACTAAATATAACATAAAAATTAGAATATGACAGATAAATAATACTATTAACTACAAAATTGATTGTCTAAAAAGTGACCTAGACTTAATTGCATTGAGACAACCTAACATTCTGTGCAATGGGTGGTTGAACTCATAAGAAGTAGGGTGATACAATGATTGAAAGAAGGAGTAATTTTGTGTGATTTACCGTAAATTATAAGATTGTGTAGTATAGTAATATTTTTCTGAACATTTTTAGTTGTGTATATGTCATGGATTACTTTTCTGATTCAGTATGAAATACGAATTTTGTGAAAGTTTTTATATAATAATAAAAACCATTGAATTTCTGTAAATATTTGAACAGCACTAATGTTCTTATATCTGAGTAAAGGGTATTGTTTAAAGTACAAAATGGAGTATAAGTGATTTTTTAGTACCTGAAATGTATTTTATATAATAAAATTGGTATCTATTTGATTTAGGTATTATATGAGCACGATAGTAATGCATAACAACATATCAATAGCAAAATAAGTTTATAAAATAAATTATTTTGTCATTGAAATATTTTTTATTTTTGGCATATATATCTACATTTATTGGTATATTTAAGTTTTGATAAAGAAGTTCAATAATATTGATATACGTGAAAATAAGAGACCATCAAAAATGCAAAAAAAAAAAAATCAAAATTCAGATAATGCTTTTAAATAAAAATTATTTATTTATTTAATTTAAATGGAAACTTAATAAATATTTTTTGACAACAAAAATTATAGATGCATATATATTTATTTACATTATATATTTGATTTAAGCTTACATTTACATTTTAGTATAATATTCTGATGTAAAAACTGATATTGTTCGTATCACCATAATATTTAAATATTTAAGAATATAATTTATCTAAAAAACTTAGTTATTTTTAAGATAAATATAAAATATATATTCAATTTTAAATATAAAATGCAATCGAATAAATTCATTATTATATAGATTTCATAAAATCATATATTGGAATTATAAGAATCACGCAATAAAAATTTAAATCCATGAAATATTTAATTTTTTAATTGTTTAAAAAATGTAAGAATTAAATTTATTACATTCTTTTGTTTAATAAATAGTAAAAATGTTCATAGTCAAATTCAATAACAGAATATTAATATAAATAAATTGTGTACTAAACTTGAAATAATTTACAATGTTTATATGATTGAAGAAGTTTATTTATAGAAACTTCATACCAAAATCTTCTTTTTTAGAGAAGTTAATTCATTTTGAAATATTTAATTGGTTAACTGTATTTCTATGTTCATTTAAATGTACATGTTTTTTTTTTGTTCAAGATTATACTCGTAGTTAATTAATCATCTTAAATCAACCAGATATTAAATGAATTATATCTTGTTTATTTATCAGTGTGTAATGTAAAATTAAATTTCCTATTATAATTGACACATGATATTATTGTATTGTCAAGGTTGAGATAATAGTTACTTAACTAAATATTAATAGTAAATGAGTATATTGCTAAAATTAAAAAAAAATATTATACATTTTGTATTTTAAAGCATTTTAAAACGCTTTTATTATAATATTATTCTAATAATTGCTATAATTACGAATTTATTAAGTTAACATATTAATAAATAATGTTTGTTTAATCATTGCTTTAAGCCAGTCATCACATGCAAGATTTCCAACATAAAAAAAAAAAAAAAAAACATTTAAAAACTATAAACAAATAATATTAGCCATTTACGGAATTGACCAGTGATTTATGATTGAAATTCTTTTGGTTTGATTATCGACAAACATTGAAGTTAATAAAATTATTTATGTATTGTGTGACAATATTGAAAGTTAATTTTGATAATATTAATGTATCCCGCAACTTTCAATTGGACGGAATTATCACTATTTTCATGATAGTTCTATTTATTTTTATCTTAAAAAAAGTTTGTTTAAATATTTCTTTAATCTTAATGTTAAAAACAAAACAAAAAAAAAAACTCTTAAAAGTACTCTCAAAAATATTTGCTATCCTTATTTCATAGACTGTTATTGTAGAGCATAATATAACGAGTCACATGTAACAATGCTTTATCAATAATTATCATATAGGTGAAATGTTTTTGTGGCTCACGGAGTTGATAGAAAAGCCTCAAAAACCAAAAATGTCGAACCATGCGTTGATATTTCCATAAACAACTGTTAATAAAATCTAAAAGACAGTAAGTATTAAACGTTGACCTCTGATGATGCCGTGAAAAAGTTATATATTATATTATACAATAAATCACGCATCATTGTTTGTAGGCCACATTTTATATTTATTTCTTCAATCTTTGATTAACGGCATAAAAATCAATAATAATAAAATATTAATTTAATTCGTCTAATATTTAGATTGTTTGAATGTATATTAACTTAAATGCATTTTCAGAGATGTGTTCAGAGTTTTTGCGATCAGTATAATTTTATTTGCCTTGCTTTCATATTTATAAACATCAATATTGTGCAATAAAGAAACAAGATAACAACACACAAAGCACAACTCTTTTACGTTTGCGTTTCATGATTAGACGGCACATCACAATTATAAGATTATTTAAAAAAAACAGTGTTCTCCAACAAAATTGGAATATTATTTACAATAAAAATTATAAACGCAATTTACTAGTGTAAAAGTGCCATTTAAGCCAACTGTCATTCTAGAACAATATTAACCCCTTATATACATCTTTAGACTCATATAAATTATGTATAAAGATTACATGGGGAAAATTTAAGTATACTCAAACAAATTTTGGATAAAAATTATGAATCTATAAACATTTTGTTTTTTTGATTTTTGTTATCTACAGTTATAAACAATAGACTATGATTTATTACTTTGTTTTAATACTATTAATAGTATTATAAATTAAATTATTCATCATTTTGTTAACATTTATAAAGATATTTATTTGTTGGAAAAAAACAATATTAATTATTATCTTTATTTGTTTGAAAATCTATGAGTTCTCATAAAGAATGGATTAAAAATAAAAATAATATTTGATGATTTAAAATATGCTATAATATAATAATTTGTGTGACAAGGATGGTTGTAAATAACTGTATTCTAAGTAGCCATAGTTAATGTCATCTATTTATAGTTCATATTATCTACAATCGTGGTGAGTGTGGTAGTTGCTGATAAAATTTTTTAAATTTTATAATAATTAATTAGACAAAGAAAATGAAAAAAATAATATTCTAAGTTGGAATTGTTTAAATTGTTTTAATTGTAATAAATCTATAAAAAGTAATTTACAATTAACAAATTCGTAACCGGAAAATCATCTATAAAATATATCATTATATCAGGAAATGCTATAATGAAGGTCATATTATATCATGTATTGATATGTAAGAAGGTATTAAATTACAAAAATTTTAATTGCTTTGATAAATTGAAAATATGTTGTTTGTAGGTACTATAGAATTTCATATATAAACATA